CCCTGTTAAAATAAACCAATAAAAATAAATTCTCATTCCCACAATTCTTGCAAATGCCATTAAGAAGCAGTAGGAGGTACTACAGATTTAAAACCCCATTTTCTGACATAATGGTTACTCATGTAATTTAAAGTAATTCAAACTGAAGATATCATGAAATAATACTTGATATTTACGACTGAATAATAGAAATTGGCTACATGCACCCTAATTTCTATGTTATTAAAAGGAGAAAAAATCGATTCGAATCTTAATGTAATATAACAGACTGGAGCTGATACATGACACCGCCGTAAAACGTCCGTTCACAAAGCTGTGAGTGACGTCACTGACGCTGCGTCCATGTTTTGCTGAGCCTGAGAGAGCCCGGTGTGCTGCACCGGGATTACGCACCGCTCTCCCGTTATCCTTATGGTTATAGGAGCTTTTACATTAACTGCTGGACACATACGTTGCTGCTGTAACGCTGACCGTTTTACGTCGGTGTGAATGAAATCAGCGTGCTGAGGGAGGACTGTGAGAAGGGGAGCAGCCCCCCGGATTCACTGAGGAGGTAGGAACACTGTCACCTGCACACACCGCACACTTTGACCCCCATATTCTGGGATTCTCACCGTGTTGGTGTTAGCCTGGCGTTGTTCCAGTTTAAGCTTGATTTAGTGATGGTTTCAACGTGTGACGGTTCAGTGAACCTACCGCACAGTGATGTAACATGACATCCACATGTAGCAGTGATAATAGCAGTGTAACACCATAACACTACCAGTTCAGCATTACACAATGTAATGAGGTAAAATTAATCTTTAATATCAAAAGTAAATATTGCACTTAATTCTGTGTAATAATGTAATCAGCATTGTAGCTGGCCCACATGGTGTCTGAATCTATTTACACTTTATTACAAAGCAATGGGAGTTGTTATTATGGAGGACTAAAACTCCAATTTTGTTGATTAAATAAATGAATTAATTGATGACTTAACTAACTAAATAAATAAATGAAATAATAAAGATATAAATGTTAAACTAAAAGCCATAATTATTAAATTAATGCAGGTTGATTTAAAGCTAAATTAATTTATATTTTCTGCTTACATTTATTTCTGTTTATATTTATTGCTCTGTTTCCTTATTTATTTCTGTATTCACATTAATGAGGGGGTGTGTCTTGACTATTCATCCATCTTTGCTCTCTACATCTCCGGCTTTCTTGAGATCAAGTGTGTAAAAACTACAGGTTATGAGCTTTCATTCAAGATTCAGGTTAGCAATATCCGAAGAAGATCTTTAGAGAGAAAGATTTGTACTACTGAACTAAAACTGGTTAAAAGCCCAACCACTAGATTGCATTGTTGTAAATGTAAACTGAGGGCTGTGATGTTAAATGTTACAGCGACTGTGAAAAAAAAATTGTATGATTGTTGACCCCTCTTTTTTTGTTGCATAAAAAGTGAACTTTTATACTCTTCTATTTTACGCAAATGGTGGTGTGGTCTTTATACTATGACAGTGTTCCTAAAATGAGATTTTAAAAAATCTCAATATAAGGCATTGCTTATGGTATATTTTGAATTGCCACAGCTGTATTGTGAAACTTATTGAATTTCCAGTTTCTTGCCAATACAAAACCCTGTCTCCAGTGTAAGAATTTGCTGTTTTTCTCTGTTTTATGGAATTGTAAACTGAATGTACTTGAGTTTTGGACCTTTGGTAGAACAGTAGACCTTTTTCACAGCAGCCATTTTGATATGAACTAGTAGGGTAAACACAGGTGTTGCCAGTGATACTAATTACTGCTATGGCGCATGTTGGCTCAGTAGAAAGGCTCTGCTACACTAAATGGAACAGAACCTTAATTAGTCTTAATAAATAATAATAATAATAATAATAATAATAATAATAGTGTTTACCTTAATATTTCATGTCAAAATGCTCACTGGAAAAAAAGGTCTGTTGGGAAATTGTAATTGGCATTTCACACTATTTCTTTTACATGTCATAGACAAAAGAATAAATGCATGCATTCATACGATTGGTAACATAACTATTCATTAAGAAATATTCATTAGTTGTATTAATTACATCTGATAAAAGAATAAGTAAAATACTATAAGATAAAACCATCCAGTACCCACGGCAATGCCAGTGTGTTGGTCCACCACTTCCTGTGAATGCATCCATGTGTTTTTTCACCACCTAATTACATATGAATGTTAGTCACTGTATCTGTGTGTGTGTGTGTGTGTGTGTTCGCAGAATGCCGTCTCTGTCGGAGCAGCTGCAGGAGGTGCGGAGTCGAGCTGAAGTGTGTCTGTACTCTGGTGGCAGGGTGGTGGAGGTGCGGGCCGGGGTGATGGCTATGGCTAATCTGCCTTTACCGCCCTGCTCCAAATACCACCACATCACTGCAGAGACCATGGTCATAGAAAACAGCTTTGGAGGCAACAGGAAGGAGGTGAGGGAGAACTAGTGCACATACAATACCCACTGCAATATAGATGAATTTTAAAGATGAGAAACACACAAAAACCATGCTTAACATGTGTGAACCTTAAAACTATTTAACAAACTATTCACCAAATATCCCTTTTTCTCTGCTTCTTCTTCAGACCCTTGCATCTCTCCAACGATTGTCTACAGCACTGAACATCCTGGAAAAGTATGGCTGTAACTTGACAAATCCCAACAGGCCAAAGTACTGGAGGACCGTGAAACACAACAATCCAGTGTTCAGGGCCACCGTTGATGCTATTCAGGTGACAATAAAACACGTATTATAGAGTAGAGTATAGCAGAGAATTACAAGTGCTTAAAGAATGTGCAACTCAAGGAATCAACAGAACTTCTTGTTGAAAACAAAACAATAGAAAGTAATACAGCAAACCGATGACTGACTGACCTGTCCTGGTCTTTCCATGAACCTGAACAGAACATGTAGCCTCTTACGGAAGTTCCCTGAAACTAAGCTGAAACCTGTTCCAATCTTGTCCTGAAGCTGTCCCATCCCTATCCTCATCCTGTC